AATCACAGAGGTTAAAGTTTAATGAGTTATTTTTACCGAACCTTAAATCACAGAAACACATGGCTGTCCAGCTATTTAGACGTGTTGGGTGTACAAGATCAAGACCCGCTGCAAACAACAAATTGCTTCACAGAGCTGCACCATGTCTGTTCTAAGTGTTCCCAGGTTCTTTAAAGGGCAGTCTTGTGTTCCAGGAGGTGGGCAGAAAGGAAACATTAGAGGCCAAAACACACAAAGCTGAAGTATCTCATGTATGTTTAAAATACGTCTAACTCAGCGAAAATGTGCTTTACTTTTTCTGCACTTAAGGGTATCAAAGCATGTCTGTAGAAATTTGGATCTGCTTGAGCAAAATAATCCTTTTAAAACAGCATCATAATGTTGGTTTGGTGATGATGTGTGTGTGGCATGTGTGCTTGTGTGTTTGTGTGGGTCTGTCTGATATTTTAGTAAATTAGACCATCAATCAAACACAACATGGGAAGCAGTGAGAAAAAAAATCCCCTCAATAACAACAACAAAAAAAAAGTGCTGAAGAAACATATGGCATTATTTAACTGCTTTTTAAGAACACAACTATTTGTCTGTTTGTTTGTGTGTAGTTGTGTTGCTATGCTTTGTAGAAATGCCATGCCATGCTTAACTTTTAGTTGTGGACTCGCTGTGGCCAGTGATGTATCTGGGACCATTTCCCAAAAAACACAGTTTTTTTGGCTTGTCATTATTCTAAAGTGTTCATTCAGCAAAATGAATTGAATAAATTAAAGAGGCTGCCAAATCAAGATAAAGTTATTACAAGATCAAGACTAAACATAAAACACATACTTTTTAAATTAAAAAAAAGAACGTTCTTTTGGACWTAGCTGGGATAATATCTCATTGGTTTTCCTCTCTGTTATTTTGTTCATCCAGTCATCATAAAGGTTAAAAAATCGTGAAATTACAAAAGAAAATATGGACATTTCTTTTTCCTCAAACTAACATTCAATGCTTCCTTAAAATCAATACCTGTAAGCAAAATTTATTAAGCTACCAATTTTTCATTGGTGACAGCTGTAATTTTAAGTTATTTTACCAACTTTTTACAAGTCAGTCTTGTTGTTGCACAGGATTAATTCACTCAGTACTGTCATGGTCTGTATTCATTTTCCTTGGTTTTCCTAGTGTTTTCTATGTTCCCCAGTGTGTCCCTGCCCAGCTGCTCCTTGTTAGTCTGATTGTCACCCTTGTGTTTCTCCTCAGGTGTTTTCTGTTCAGTCATGAGTTTTCTGTGTATTTAAACCCTGTCCTGTCTCAGTCTTATTGTCGGATCATTGTTGTGTTTTGTTGCTGAGCTTTGTCTCCCTCGTGCCTGTGATTTTGAGAACCTGTAAGTGATTTTTGAGCTGCCTCAACAGCCTTTTCTGTTATTTAATAAATCTTGTTGTTCCTTTTTTGAACCTGCCTGCGCCCTGGGTCTGTCCTCCACCAATCCTGATAAGTTCGTTCTGCACAGTGGAAAGATACTAATTATCTTGGTGTCTCTTGGCTCTGACAGATGAAACATTTGAGGGAATCACATGGGGAGGAAGACGATGGGTTTTTGCTCGGTGAATGAATGAATAAATAAATAAATAAAAAGATTTGATGAGATAGAGATTGACAGAGTAAGAAAAGGATGAACCTTGCGAGCTTAAAAGTGAAGTGAATGGGATAGCGCGCCCAGAGGGGGCAGGAAAAGAAACGTTGGGGGAGAAAACAAGAAAAAAAATGCATTAGTTATGATTTGCAAAGAACACAGCAGCAACCGGAAATATTCGCATTACATTGCTTCATGGGTTTTGGCCATTCTTTTTGAATCACTTTATCGCCTTCTTCCTCATTCACTAAAATACAGGAGAAATGTAAAAAAAAATCGTATCAAAAGTTCATTCTATTAACCTTGAAATTCAYTGATGCACACTTTCCACTGTAGGCTCAAACAAAGCCATCAGTAACTTGGTTTTTGCACGTGTGCATTGTTTTGTCAAGAAAAAAGGATTTTGTAGAATCATTTTCAGCTTCATTGTGCTTTTGATATGTTTCTTTTTATTTTAAAAAATGAACTTTTTCCCCCTCATTTGTCAAACTTGTGTTTTCAATGAAAATTGTTGATTAATTTAGCATTAATACATTCAAAATACGTTTCAGATCCTCCAGACATGTTTTTTTATTTGAATTTAATTATACCATCAAGGTAGAGATTTTATCTATGAACACTAAAAATCAAAATGAAATAGAGTGCATTTAAATAGAAGTTTGTGTAACTTATTCCCTGGGGATAAGAACAATTGCACAGAATACACAAACTTGGCATTCATTATTATGCAATCAGCTGTCTCAAGTGTTCATCCCAAATATTTCACTTTGTAACACATCTCTGCTGGTGCCAGTGCAATGATGTAATCAGATGCCATGTCCTTGACACTGCTCTTGTTCGGCTTTGTTTACTTTTAGCTCCCAGAATTCCCTGATGTAAGCTTTTATGGATGGCCTTTTCTTGTTGGCAGTGAATAAATTTGCACTGGCATGTTGGCTTCATAGCTTGTATTTCTGTGAGCCCTGACAGCCCATCATGGTTGGTTGTGGAAAGGTAGAGAACACGTTTGTTTGTAGATTTTTACCTTTTTTTATGCATACAACAGTTTTTTTTTCTTTCATGTATTCATGTTCTCTGACAGGAAGCTAAAGTCAGAAAACATGTTTCAGTAAACAAACTCTACAGATCAGGTGAAAGACTGAGATTACTGTTTATAAAGTTTTTACTAAATCACAGTCTATAGTAGGTTTAATATATAATATTAGTATTTTGTCTAATGCTTAACATGAAAGTTGTTACATTGTAGCTTAACTTTTTCATTTAATTTAAATGAAGTTTACTAACGATGCAGTGTTAATGTGCAGCAGGACATGACTTTCACTACAACAAATTTTAACCCATTTTCTATTGGCTGATATTGATTAGCAGAGTGGCCATTTTAAATTGGGCTGATCCACAGTTTCAGCTGTAGATGTACATCGAATGATTGTYGGCTGAATGTTACAAATAAATCCATCCTGTGTTTCACGAGTTGTTCTGAAAATGGTGCAGACAAACAAACACACAGATGTGAACAGAAACATTACCACGCTTGCCTTTGCTTCTGGTGGCAAAATTTAGGTAAAAATTGAATTAAAACATCATGAGTTTGTCTGACAATGAGTAACTTTTTTAATCAAGTTTTGTCATAGTCTGTATTCATTTTCCTTGGTTTTCCTAGTGTTTTCTATGTTCCCCAGTGTGTCCCTGCCCAGCTGCTCCTTGTTAGTCTGATTGTGTTTCTCCTCAGGTGTTTTCTGTTCAGTCATGAGTTTTCTGTGTATTTAAACCCTGTCCTTTCTCAGGCTTATTGTCGGATCATTGTTGTGTTTTGTTGCTGAGCTTTGTCTCCCTCGTGCCTGTGATTTTGAGAACCTGTAAGTGATTTTTGAGCTGCCTCAACAGCCTTTTCCTGTTATTTAATAAATCTTTTTGTTCCTTTTTTAACCTGCCTGCGCCCTGGGTCTGTTCCTCCACCAATCCTGATAAGTTTTGTTTGGAAATTCTTTTCAGGCTCAACAACATGTTAGATTAAAAAAAAAACATTAACATAAGAATGCAATGGTTATTATTAACGTTTTGAACAATTTTACTTAATCATCATTAYGCGCTTGTTTAGAAAACATTTATTTATTCAAGTATTAACCTCACCACGTTCCTACCTTTGATAGATTTCCCACTGTCAGACAAAAACAACAACTTCAGCCTGAATTCTGAACTGAGACTCTAATTACTCAGTTTAGGGTCCAGACACTAAAAACACTTTGACTTCTAACAAACAGATCCTGATACTCTGACAGAATTTTTTTATTACATTTCTAATGTAGAAAATTACACTTTTTAAGAACTTCTTAATAACGTTTCCTTAAGTTTATAAAAGTCCACTTTTATCCCCCTCTGCCGTTAGAGGGCAGCAGCACTACTGCAACCTGTGGGTATTTATTGTAAAGATGAACTGTCTGCATCCTGTAGACCTGACAATACAGGGATACAAATGAATCCAAAGTGGTGTCTCTTTTGTGACCCATTATTCACTAAACTTAGTTTGTGTCCACTTGTTTTCTTGGAGAAAAGTCACTGTAGGTTTAYCTGTTTCAAGTGATCTTTGAGAAAAACATTTTTGTTATTTCTGCAGTGAAGTCATGTGTTTCTCACAGTCATCGCCTCCAAACAATTCAGTATCAAACTGAACGTTTTAAACAGACAAAAAGTGTCCTTCAATGTCAAAATTGTAACAATTTTCCAAAACTTAAGACACTTTGCTTTTCCAGAGGAGGAGCAATAATAKACAGTATTAWTATGTTCACAAATCMCTGAATGGATTTTAATATGTTTAAGACAGTAATCACTATAAATAAATTGGCTGCCACAGCAAAATGATCTCATCTGCTGGAAAACTCAGTCATTTTCACACATTCTTAGCTAAAATTGGGCGTTTTTGAACAAGATCTGTATTTAAAATTGTGTAATCAACTAACTGTGTGTGTTCTGTCAGTGTGTTAGTAAAATATCTGAAAACCACTGCATGGATTTTTTAAAAACTTACAGAAAGTAGTGCCTAATATGCATGCATTCCTTCAAGGATGATCGTTACTAAAACTAATATATAGACCACATACATAAACAAAACCTCTGACTGTGCCAACAGCATTTCTCCACCAGCTGCTGGTTAATGAGTTTATCATTCTTAAAGTGACAATCAGCACTGATGCATTGAAGATTTGGTTCAAATAAGACAAGCCTCAAAACCAACTTGTGATTACAAAGCAGATCATTAGGGTGATAAATGGGCCGTGACCAAAAAAAGGAAGAGTGCCTGTGAAATTTGCTAAATGATGTTTGGAGTGCTACCGAGAGAGGAGCTGTGTGGGAAAACWGTCGCGTTCAGACAGCAGGGAGTGTTTCTTGGGGGAGATAAGGGAACTAGTGAAAGTTTGCCGACCTCTCTCACCCTCCACTCCCCCCAACCTTTTTTTCCCCTTGTGTGTGTGACATCCACATCAGGAGAGAAAGTCAGGAGGGAGGGAGAGACAGAGCGGATTTTGGGGGAAACCAGAGCGCACTAACCTCCAGACCGTCCCAGTCTGCGCTGCGCCTCTCTGCGCTCTGAAAACTTTTTTTTTTTGGTCTTATTTCTGAGACCCTTTCTTTATATTTCGCGGTGGCGGAGGGATGTTCTCCGAGAGGAAGAAGTTACACCCCAGCWGAGCTTTTTTTCTTTTCTCTCTTTGTGGAGTTGAAAGAAGTTTGGGTGATAACTTAGCGCACAAATCTTGAATGGGCACCGTCTGAGGAGACCTTTACGCAGCGAGGTGGCACGTTTTATAATCCTTTTTCTTCCCTTTTATTCAATGGCAAACAACTCTTTTAAGGAAACGCTTTTACTGCTAGAGTCACTCTAGGCAAAGTTTCGCAAACTTTTTTTTATTTTTATTTTCATCAAATCTACCGAGTCGAGCATCCTTTTTTTTTTTAAATCCCAGAACGGATCGTATCACCTCTGCTCTCATCCTCTTGTGGATTTTCCAGTCATTTTAGTGGAGACCATGCCTCCAGCCGAGCCGGAGAGGTGCGCCGGGCTGTGCCGGATCTGGGCTCTGGTTTTCGCTCTCCTGCTGAGCGCAGCGGCGGTGGATGGATGCCCACACAAGTGCAGCTGCTCCGGGTCTCATGTGGACTGCCAGGGTCTGGGGCTGAAGACCGTGCCCAAAGGAGTACCGAGGAATGCCGAGCGCCTGTAAGTGCGATTAATTCCGCTCAAAGCAACCTGGATGATTTGTCTGATCAGAGATCAGGAAACTCTCTGAACCTCTGATGTGGGTTCATTCTGTTAAACCCTGGATGCTTTAAACATCTTTTCAGAGTTTATAGAAACACTTAAACAGGATAAAAGTCACTGAAGTGAACATAATAAGTTCCCTCAATGATTAAAAGGTTGTGTCCACCTGCCTCTGCCTATTGAGAAACAGTTTTATTTTTTTTGAAACATCAGTTCTAGGTTCCCAGCATCATCTGACCAAAATTAGTTTTTGAGATGTTGCCATTTTGTTGCATATTTAGAGCTAAAAAAACAATAAAATAGATAAAACCATGCTTAAAGTAAATGCTCACTTTTAGATAAAGTTGGTAAATCTGAATATATTTAAGTGGGAAAAGTTACAGGATCTTTAAACTTTTTCTCTGAAGCTTACATTTATTGTTGAAAATATTAAAAAGAAAAACAAACTTTCTTAACTAACAAAGGATTTAAAGATCTATGATAAGTCTATTTAACTTTCAAAGAAGTGAACAAAATTCTCCCAATAATCAAGTTGAGTTTTAAAAGTTTGCTGGTTCCATAATCTCCTCCAACTGAACCGGGTCAGTAACTGGTCTCAGGTCACCCTAAGAAAACATTCTATTCCTTTTTAAAGATGACTTCCAGTGCTTTTCTTTAAAAAAAAAAAAAAAACTAAACTTGATGACAGTTTAGAAAGATATTCATTCCTCGGGCAGGGACAGAGCCCTGACAGATGCTGCTGCCACCTCCCGCCTGATTTTGACACGTATACACAAGTGCAGCTACACAAATGCATGCACACATGCACACATACCATTGCTGTTAAGGTATGGGAGTGATTATGCGTGATAACGGAGCAGCCATATGCCCTGCGGGGGATCAACAACAGACCTAACCCTGAGACAACAAACTCAATCAGTAGGCTGTGGAGGAAAGTGGGGGGAAGTGTTTGTGCATAAGGTGCTGGTGCTTATGAATATATGATTAGCACGTGTGGGTGTGTTTTTTACTATAGTGTGTATTTTTTTTAAACACGCTTGTATTTTCTTCAGTTTCTACATGTCGGTACTGGCTGGTGTGGTTGTTTTTCTTCTGCACGTATGTGTGAGTGTTAACAATGAAACCCATTCCCTCTCAGTCCCACAGAGCTCCTGTGACCTCCTAAAACCTGTTGGCTTTCACACAGCAATCCCCTTAAGACATTTACACCCCAGTAAAATAAATAATTAAGGCTGGTTCTGATGGGGTGGGTGGGTTAAGGTGTTCCTCTGTTTCTCACCGGGGTCCCTGAGGTGGAATATTTGGGGGGTATCAGTGCCCCTTTTTCCTCCCTTTCTATTCCAGAAAGTGTGTTTATGTTTCCCTGATTTATCCAGGTCACTGTTTCAGATGTGACATTGGCCAAAAGTTGCTGTTTTCCTCCTTCGTACCTCTTTTTTTTTCTATTGCAGGCCTTCTTTTTTATTTTCCTCAGCAAATATATTTTAGGGAGTCGAAGATGAGAAGCATCAAAATAGATGAAATTCCAGTTGTAGAGGTTAGGGCAGATGGGAAACATTTTAAAAGACATTATTGCAGCTAGCAGGGATTAGGGTTCACCAGCTCAGATACTGTGATTGTGGACTTAATTTAGAAATGAAATGACCAATTTGGAGAAAAAAAAGTAAAGTAAATTTGGTTTATAGAATGTAGACAATTTGTGTTGATATTGAAAGAATAAATGTGAGACGTCATGAGTGCTACCAGATCGGTGTCTTGAATTCTCAACAAAGAACAATGTATTTCCCTGACTTCTAGTGGTTGTGATGGTGAACAYTGTCTCTGCATGTCAGTCCAGTCTTCCATACTGTTTTGTGTCCTGTCAGAGCAGAAATGTTTCATTATAGGATAATGGTTGTTAATCATAACAACCTTGTTTTGATTTTCCATGGTCCTTACTTCTAAGAGAATGTGAAACCAATCCTTGCCTGCGCTGTAAGGCTGCTTCCAGTCCAACTGAGTATTGTTCAGTTAGGTAGCCCCTTTTGGGTTCGGTTTGTCTGCCATTTGTTAGTTTTTGGCGTACTTTTCTAATGCACAGTAACTGCAACGATTCTAGTAATGACCAAACATTATATATAAAAAAATATTCATTTATTGGACAGGTTTTCTCTAAACTCATTTTCACTGAAGGCTGCATGAGCTCAAGATGTTTGGCTGTTCCCAAAGGATTCAAAGAGCTGGGCCAGGTGCAATTAAGGTTGATGTTTTGGGTTTAACTTTGACTAAAACAAAACATAATTTACCTCATCTCTTTTTTACAGTTGAGCTCCTCTAACAAACAATAACTGAGCTCTATGTGGTACTTCCTGCATAGGAACAGCATTTTAACACATCCCCTTATAAACACTGAAAAGTACTGACTTGTGTCAGAAATAGCACAGAAATACTTATAAAAGTAAAAGTTTTACTCACTATTGAGTTCTTATGCAAAATCGCCATGCATTATGGGAGATGTAGTTTATGGTCAATGCTCGTTTTAAAGCAGCTAGTTTTGAGACGTTAATACAGGGCCGTGCAACTAAATTGCTCAGGGGGTCACATTGACTCAAAGCCATGAGTTTAGGCGCCGAACAAGTGTTATTACCCTTCACTATACAAAATTAGTATAAATAAGTATTTATATTTGTGTAAAGCTGTTTAGATTGTCAAAAACCTGTGTTTTTAGGGTTGTTAACGAAGTTTGTGTACTCAGACCAGTAATATTTGGGGTCACAAGTTTTTGCCATGGATATTTTGTGGGTCAGAAGATAAAAAGTTTGGGAACCACTGCTCTAAAAGATTGAAAAGTGTAATATATAGATGCACTAATGTTACCAACCATAGTTGAAGTTTAATGAAATCTAGTTAGATTGATTTTATGTAATAATACTGAAGCAAAAAAAAAAAAAAAAAAAAAAAGGAAAGAAATGAGCAAACAGAAGAGCAGTAATGACCTATACCTACCTATCCTTTTCAATTTCATATGTGACCTATGTGGTTTGGGAACAGTTAACTCACTTCCTATTTTCCATGGGCCTTACTGTAATTACACCAATGCTATTGCTAGCTAAGTTGTCATAAAGAAACATTCAAGTCCATTTTAAGGTTGTGGTGAAATTCAGAAAACGTAGTAATGTTTGTTCACTTACCGTTCTGCTGAAACAATGACGTGAGTCCAATAATAGTCTCACCACGCAGCTCGTCTGAGCTGCAAGAACACAAGACATTTAAGGGACACAAAGTCCTCGCCTTATCTTGACTGGATTTTTTTTTTGTAGCTAATTCTTCGCGTGTTCCCTTTTATCCTTCTCTAAAGGCAAATGTGGTGAATCAAACAAACTTAGGCAGATTGTGTGAAGGTTACTGAAAACAAATGTTGAAAATCACTGTTAAGTGGAGTAGAAGCCCATGACACAAGTTGAGGGAAATTAGGTATGACATAAAGAAAAGTACTGACATTCATGTAAAGGAGCTTCATGATGAATTACTGTGAAAAGTTGTAAAATGACTTTTTTTTCTCACAAAGAAAAGACCATGTCCACACAGGAAATCAGTCAAGGCAGAAAATGTCTGGCCCTGGAAGCTATAAAAACCATCAGCTTGGTCCTTTAAATGTTAAAGTTACTCCTTACTTAGGCTGCCTCTTACATTCAGGAAATAACGTTGAATTTGGTTCTATTTGCTTCATATGGAGGTAAAGGGTGAGCAACGGTCCACCTGTCATAAGCAGAGAATCAGTCTTTCTAAAAGCCAGTTTTTCCTCACTATTATAAACAGAGCATTTGGAAAGGTTAATGAGAGAAAAACAGTGGTGTCCTCGACCGTTCACTCAACACACACTCACTCGCTCTCACATGCAGCCTCACAGATTACCTCAGGCCAGTCAATTCCGTAATGTCCTCCTTGGGAAGCCACTTGAGACCTCATTTGCATCTAATTTGAGTGGAGCATTTTTGGGAGGGGGAGGCTTAACAGGCTCAAGGGAGGGGAGGGTGGGTAAAAGGAATTAGAAAACTGCGATGGCTTTTCTCTCCTGGGTTCACTTCACACCTGCCCAATGGGGACCACTAAACATACACAAAAACGAACACACACACCGGAGTGTTGATGCTTTTTTCTTCTTTTTTTATTTTTTTGAGCTGCAAATAGCAAACTGTTGCCTAATGGCTGTGAAATGTCAGGGAATTGTGTGCAATAAAACCCAGAGGGAACTTCCAATTGGCTAAGCTGCAGTCAGGAAACTTTTATCCAATAATATAGATGTATAAATATTTATGGATATGTTATGTCAGTATGTTTTTACTTCTATGTGTTACCGCTATATGTTAGTTTTTGTGTATGTGCTGCATGTGAAACTGAGTAAGTGTGGGTTTGTAGCTGAATAGGCTCACTGCTGGAAATGGGCACGCTGCCTGAGCGGACTTTAAAAAAAGAATAACTTTGATTTTAACTGCTTATTTTTCTGTTCCTTCACTAATAGCTTTTTAAGGAAGTTTGGCAATTTTTTCACAAGCATCACCTTCTCTGCTTTCTTTAGCCTAGCGTAACCTTTCTTTTCTTTGTCGTTTTACTTCCATTTAAACTCTTCATCTTTATCCAAACTATTCCTCTTTTCTCGAGCTCCGTTTTTTTTCCTGTGAAGTTTCTGTTTTTGTAACTTTTGGCTCATTCTGCCATCTTTTCTTCCTCCTCTACTTCTTCCTTGCTTCTTTGCACCACTTTCCCTGACCCTTTCACCTCCCCGTCCAACACACACACTCACAGTTTGCCAACAGCATCTCTCCAGTTGAGTTTTCACAGCCCCCATTTCCCCTACTCGTGCCAACCTACCACCGAGTCTCTAACAGTGGGATCCTGCTGTGTGTATGTATGAAAGCAGTGTGTGTTTGTGTTGAAAAGACACACAAGTTCCAGCCGTTGCTCCTGGCTCTTATCAA